TTGCCCTTATCAAACCCTACTCTTGGGAAGAACCAAACATTTAGGCACATGGACCACACTGAAAGTTCTTAGAATAGCGCCTTGCTTATAGTATATATGTACATAGTGTTGGTTTTCTTATTTTTATTGTCACTTGCATTTACATTTTAAGTCTCTCTAATTCGGATTGAAAGGCTCTGTCCCTATTAATGGAATTTGAGCAGATGTGCAGAAATATTTTGGGAGATTCCTGAAAGAAGACTTTGCAGGCACAAACCTACTCAAGTCTAGTATGGTTTTCCTCAGGAATGGCTGTGTGGCCAGGCAGCAATTACCACTTTCTCTGAACACCAAAGGAAGGTACACCTACATGGTCAGCTGTGAAGCTTATATGGTATGGCTCAATGTGCTCAAACACCTATTTGCTGTACCCCGATGTTCATGGCAATTAAATCAAGATTGGAGCACCGTGAGGGAGGGGAATAGGTAGATATGATTTAAACAACAGAACCATTCCAAAATTAAAAGCACTAAATGGGGGTAATTCCACCCGATTGGCCTGATCCTCATGCTACCCACCCCTCTCCACCTCTTTTATTGATTTGAAGGTTTCTTCCTCTGTAATCATTTACCTCCCTGTACAAAATGGGAACTTAAATATCAAGACGGTCTCCTTGGTGAAAGAGAAGAAACTGCGTAACTGTTAGGAGTAAGGGAGATGAAGGTAAGAGAGTTGATACAGCACAGAGCCCTAGCTGTATAGACTGCTTATTTGCTTGACAGTTTCTTAAGTGTTTCTAAACTCTTTTAAAATAAAAGGACAAGTCAAGGCAGCGCATGTCATACAGAGTCAGAAAACTTGCTAAAGAAACCAAATCATGTTTTACGACATCCCTGCCTTCCTGGTGACACAGCATCACTCTGCTTTCCTGCCTTTGTCCAGACCACACCCCCTCTCTTGAAACAAACTTCTTGAACCCTGCTCCACCCCTTCTCCCACTTGGCAAGAGAAAAAAAAAAGCCTTCAGATGAACAGCTATCCAATACAAATCTATTTCAAGCCCATCCATCCCTGGTCTTATTTCTGGGAAGTCTTACTAGACAGAACACATTTCTTAGAATACTAGTTCCCTTTTAGTCATTCTTTATTAAACAGAAGATTCTAGGCCCCCACCATCATAAAGAAATTGAGTTTTTATTCTACTATTTCCCATTTCCCAATTCATTGTTCTTTCCCCTACATGAGCTTGCTAAAGCTCATAGTCAAAATTCACATCTAAAATAAAGAGGCCTGCAAGAGAAATTCATGTAATCCCACTCCTTAAATATCCCTAAGACATGTGAGATATTGTTTAGATCGTGGACTCTTACTTTGACATGCCAGCATAGGTAGGTGGACGGGCTAGCACATCAGATGTCACTGTTTGGCAGCTGATAAAAGTCAGCGGTGCTATAATACTAAGCACAGAGCCACTAGATTAGCGTGTGAGGGAAGGGAGTGCCTCTTCCCTCCCTTCAATAGTGGGTTAAACCCAGCTGGCACCCTCTGGAACTACGGGTAAGTCCCTTCTTTATTCTGCTACAGTTTGGGGTTTTGTTTTTGTTTTTTGTCCAAATCAGGGGAGTGTGTACAGAGGTGATCTTCAGATAAAAAGTTTGAAAGCCACAACATCATAATGGTATTATACAAAGATTGGAAGAGAAAGTGACCTAGTCATTCCACTGAAACTGTAAGCCATTGTACAAGGGGTAGAGGCAAAGACAGTTGTGTGTCATTCTGTTTAAATCATCATTTTTCCTTGAAAAGGGACAGTTGGTCTGACTGTAACTGTGATGATATCCTACAGCTTCAAAATATCCTTAATTTTTTGTGCCAGACTGTCCTAC